AAGTCTGCATGGAGACACATAAGTCTGTGGAGCACCAGTGGATCAAAATGTGTAATTCCCATCACAATGTTCTGACTGTAGAGGACCTCCCTCTCTTTAATACTACAAACTGTGTCTTACAGATATGTTGGAAAAATATTCTTTGCAGTAGTCAGCAGGGTATGGAATGCATTCTGGCTATATATATTACTTTTCCAGTTTTTCTGTGCTGCCAGAGGCACCACATGGAAAAAAAAACTTTAAGGGAGCAGAGGCAAGCAGAGAGAAGGTGCTGAGATGAAGGAAATTATGGGGGACTATCAAGGGAGAGGAAAACATTTATCTCTACTCTAGGTATCCCACAGTTATCAGACTGCATCAGGTAAAAGATGTGTGCAGGTAAGCTTTAATTTCGTTTCAGCTGCTGAACAGTTTTGTTGTTTGTTTTTTTTAATCACCAACTAGCTTGTAATAAGTTAATTAAAAATTTCAGTAAAGTATTCAGCAGTCCTCCACTGGGAAGGTATGCCTGAACTTAGCAGTGTTCTCTTGGTCCCCTGAATTCCTGTTCTGTATGCACATTTCACATTAAGGATGCCACCACTCTCTTTCTGTCTCGTGCCAGTCCCAGAAATCACAGATCTCTGTCTCTGGCAAGCTGTCTGGCAATTCTTCCTTTGGGAGGTGTTTTTTTAGTTCCTTCTCTTGGACAAAAGTCTGTTGAAAAGAGAAGTGCCAAAAGCTATATATGTAAAATCTAAGAGAACTTGGGAGGCAACGAGGAGGGCAGTGACAGATGAGGAATAGGAGGAAAACACCACAAGCCACCCTGTCTTCCTTTCCTGTGGAGTAAGAAGGTCAATCTTCCTCAGCACACAGCTGAGTGCTAGTTATAACTGTCAAGTTTGTATTGAACCTACTACCTGATTTTTCCCTGTAGTAAATTACTGTGGAAGTCAACACTATTTCTGCCTTTATTGCAGAATCATGGCTATCAGATACAGAAGAGACAAGAGGGTTGCCTTGATAAAGGCCTCCCCCTTGACGCAGTGATTTATGAGCAGTACCAGCTTTCCGGGCCCTGCTGTAGCAGATATTGCCGGAATGAGTCTGGTCTCGGTCTCCCCTGGCCTGAAACAGAGGTGTGAACACTGTTGTGGACAAACAGGGGCTTCCTGAGCCAGTGTAACTTCATAAATCATCCGTGCTATGTTGCAGTAGCCAGCACTGGGAAGTCCGAGCTTACGGGTCAAGCATGGAGAATGTTAAATTCCTGGAGACTGGGAATGGTCAGGAGCCCTGGGATCACAGATTTGGCATGTGACTGGTGTACAGTGGTAAAACTTTACAGACAGATGCCTCTATTTTTCTTTCTTTTTTGATCACTTCTTGATTAATCTTGCTTCACAATAATGGGTAATAATGCACCATTAGTGGAGATGAGCTGCCTTGCTAATGAACTAGACTGAAGGATTTGTACAGATCATAACCTTGCCATATGCCTTGTGACCTTTCCCTCCTTCACCACCACATCCTTTAGTGATTGTAACCTTTTTCATATTAGTTTCTAGCCTTTTTATTTTTTTTTAATGGATAATTCCAATTAGTGTCTCATCCTGCAGGTGCAATTCAACACTCATAAAAAACTTGATATCCTGCCAGTCCCAAAATTCAATGGCATCCTTCACTAGGGTTCTGATACTGGGGAGAAGTGACTCACTAAAACTTTGCAAAATGTTCTAGCTGCCAAGGATGCTGCAATGTGGCATGAGTGGCAATCCCCCTCTCTTTATATCTGTCACAGTGTTTGGAGGAAAAACAAGAAAAATCTGGGCCCCAGGTAGAAACCTAAGCCTGTTGAGGAATTAATGAAATCACACTGTTTGGAGACTTGCAGATGCTGTTCTGTTGGGAGCATGCTGAGGCTGCCATTAAATCCCTTTGGATAAGACTCAGTAAACATCTGGTAGCTTTTTTTAAAAAATAGAAACTGTAATTGTTCTAGGCCTTGCTGTCTGCCCACGCTGGTAATGTGCCTGCGAGGTCTAATTAGTTGACAAGTGACAAAAGAGGCCACCGTAGCGAAGGGGAGGCCAGGTGCCAGGATTGTTAGATGGGTTGGGCAAGAGCCACGAGAGCCAGCAGGTGATGGATGCAGGAAAGGTGTATTATCCCCTGCTTTGTTACAGATGCAGGGACATGAGGAAACGAGGTAAAGTGATAAGCCAAAGGCTCAGCGTTTTGCTATTTGTCTTATGTAAAACTGGCTCTGCAGTCGTCTGTGAGCAGGGTGGTTAGGCTCTGTAATAGCTGGTCAGTGCTAAAAGAGCCCTGACCTTCAGGCTCTACTGAGTACCTTTCAGTGCTTGTGGGACTAAGATGGAGAGCACTTGCACTTGAGTCCATCATGAGCAAGATTAGTTAAAACTGATGTAGCTGTATTCCTGTTTGCTATCAGTGGTAAAATCCCCATTCACTGTCAGCAAAAGCTGAATTCATTCAAGGCAGAAGAGAGTCCCATCTGCTCTTATAAGTGAGTCTGTGGGAAAGGATTATTAGTTGAGCACAGCAAAATCTGACTGTCTGCTTTGCTTGTATCTTCCCCTTGAATTGTTGCAATTCCTAAATTAATACATTCATCATATTTATTATTGTTATCTATTATATTTATATAGATAAAATACATTGAAGATGTTGCCTTTCAGGCAAAACTTTCTGAAAGCTTTCCAGATCCAGGGTGGACTGTTCCAGCTGGTATCCAGCTCCTCATCAGTGTGAGGACTGATAAGTCTGCTGACTGTCTGCACCAGAACTGGACTTGGCAGTGCAGGGATGCCCAGCATGTGTGAACCTGTGGGCTCAGGTGCCATATGCAGTTATTTTTGAGTCTGCCAGTCCCAATGTTTGGGCTTTTTCAGTACTGCACCTATGGCTGGGCTGAACTTTTGCTTTTTTCATAGCTGGGGATGTAGGAAAAGTGTTTTTAAGTGTTTAAGCACTGCTTAGCACATGACTCTAGTTTTGTCTCGAGGAATTAGATCCTCTTCATTTGTCTTGGCTCCTCTTGAACAGTTCCCATCCAAGGGGCAACAAGATAAGTCATGGGGACAGAGTGGTGGTGGGTTATGAGAATATCCCTTGGTCTGTGTTTGCCAGCACTCATGCTGAGGGTGCAATACTTTTTCCAGGTGTTCTGGTAGATTTGGGGGTCTCACAGCAGTTAGTGTCATACCTACACCAACATCTGGCCCGTCACTGCTAAACTCGCCAGACCGTGCTGCTGGAAGTGGATTTGATTTGTGCTGAGGTCACCTTGAATCACAATTACCAGTGGGAAGGAGTGGATGCATGTGAACAATCACGGATAAAATTGTGTAAAGGAGATCACCAGAAGTGAAAACAAGTTCACCAAAAACATCTGCCAGCAAATTCAAAGCCATTAGCTACGTTTGTTTCCCCATACAGTCAATAGGTCCCATCCATCATCCCACTGCTCCATGGGGAGGATGTGCCAGGGACAGTAAGGAAAACCCCACCAGAGACACTCACCCTGGACATTCCTCTACCTCCCTCTCCTCCTGTAAATCAGGAATAACCTCACTAAAATCAAAAAGAATTCTCCAGGGTAGAATTTTGTAAATGAATAAAGGAAAGGTTTCACGCTCGTTTTCTTCTGTCCAGGGCACCATGAAATTAAAATATTTGGGTTTAGATTGCTGCTAACCTTAAAACTGTGTTCTGTATTAAAAAAACAAAACCAAAAGTATAATAGATATTAAAAATAATGTATTATATAAAATATTGTATTATATATAATATGTAAAGATAACTAAAATGTATATTTACATATACATATATATATGAAGACTTCCAAGTTAATGTTTTGGCAGCCATCTGAGCGCCCTGGTTAGGTTTTGGTCTGATAAATGGGTGCAAAAGAAGTGATTGAATCTCCACACCTGGAAAACCCATGTGTTGCTCCAGATCTTGGCTGAGTTAATCCAGTCTGAAATGATATTTAGTGAAGCTCCCTCTGTGTAAGATATTGCTGTGAAATTTTAGGGCAGACAGAGGAACAAGAGAGTGGGAGATGGATGGATGCAGGTAAAACACATTAAAATCTTTTAAAAGAAAGGCTTTGTTCTTTGGGAACAACAACTGCATGCTACCCAGCTGCCTTTAATGCTTCAGTCCCTTTATTCCTTTGGAAGCAGGGGAAATCCAAAACAGAAACAAGGCAACAACACTACGCTCTTTTTCTTCTTGCAACACAATGCAAGGGCAGAACATTTCAGTTTTTCTTTTAAGATCACAGGTAAACGAGCTGCCATCATCTTTACATTCCTGGCATGATCTACATCTCAAATGAAAATTTGGGATAATGATTATTATTTATAAACAACAAGGATGACAAAGGAAAAATAGGAAATGCTCTGTAAATGCAGATAAAATTATCCTTGGCACCACCTGCACATTTGTACACGTATATGTGTACATAAAAATAGGAAAGCCTACTGAGTTATTGAATAGAAATGAGACTGGCAAGAAGTGTTTTTCCCCAAGCCATTGCATATTCCACAATTCTGTCACAAAAATGTCTTTCCTCCCACCTCTGACATTCTATTGTTGCTTTTCAACCAAAACAAAGTGAAAGGAGATGAAAAGATTGAAGAGGAAATGGTAAGTTATTTTCAAAGGTAATTTCTGTCAGGTTTTATTTTAATCGTGTGCTGGCATGATGACAAAAGTTACCAGTGTGTGCTCTGAATGATGTTTGGTGATTTGCTTTGCCCCTTTTTGTTTGTTTGTTTGTTTGTTTTTGTTAAATAACAGCAATGTTTGTCACATAAAAATGCCTCTTTCCCAATTTCAGAAGCTCACAGACTGAAAAGCAAAGAAAAAATAGAAGAAGGAAGAATAAAATGTCCACTTTGGATGTCCTAGCTGGTACAAAATGTCCTGTCTCCTTGAGCAGCCCTTCATCCCTCACAAATAAAGATGAGCAGCAAAGAGATGGAAAAGGGATGGATAACATTGGAACAGGTATGAGATGAGCAACCCTAAAACTGGTGTTCAGCCTAGTGGTGCTGGTGAGCACGTGTGGGATGCCCAGCTAAACCCCTGGTCAGTGCAGGATTAATCCCTGCAACAGTGCTTCCTGTTTATTTTCCAGTGATTTCTGCAAGCAGCACCTAGAAGAGAGAGCTGCTGGCTTTCACATCATTAGTGAGCACACTGCTTTTATTTCCTTTTGTCTGAGTGCCTATTTTATAAGATTATCTTATTTTGGAAGAGTTTGCCCTAAGTGGTGCTTTTTGTTTTCACACATGTTGCAGCTGCAAATGCAGGCAGAGCTGGACCACAGAAGGAATGTCTTGCTCAATGTTTGTTTTTTTTATTTTATTATCTTTATAGATGAGGAAGTACTTTCTCCCAGCTTTTTATTCTTTTACTCCGTCTCTTCTAAGCCAATGCTTGCTTCCCAAGAACTAGCACGGCCTGATCCTTACACAGACAATTATGACACAGAGAGAGGTACATTTATCCTTCTTTCTGCTTTTGTGTATGGTTTTGCAAAGGAGGCATATGCTGCTCCTTGGACTTGAGGTTTTTAGGACCAAATAGATGTGTTAATTTCCTGCCCCAAAGACTAAAATCCCAGGGAAATCAGAAGAATGGAAGAGCATCTCAAATGAAAATTTGGGATAATGATTATTATTTATAAACAACAAGGAAGACAAAGGTAAAGTAGGATGTGCTAGAGCAATTCCCTTAATGGCAGCTGCAGGTTCCAAGCTTCCTCAGCTATAAACTTCTGTCAGTTCCACCCTGGGACTTCACAAGTTTGGCCATTGTGGTTTGAAATCTCCCCCTGGAAAGCCATTATCTTCTGTACTGAGATGGAAGATGCAGGAGACAGAGGTGCTGACCTGGGATGTCGATGAGACCCCACCACAAACATTTTAGCATTTGCTCCTGACAGAGGAGCTGCACTCACATGGGGTGAGCCCTAATCTGTGATGGGCTCTCTAACCACCACCAGGCTCCAAATTTGGCTCTTGCCCTTCAGAGACTCGCTGGCAGCAAGCACATCCCCTCCCTGATGTACATTCTGGCCCCTGGTTTCTAGATGCCCTGCTGAAGCACCCAAGCAGGAAATGCTCTCGTGGGATAGAGACGCTGGTTTGCCAGTGCACCAGGAAACACATCAGTATGGCTGGGATCACCCCAAAATTACTCACACTGATGGAAATGCACCTTGCAGGTTTGGAGCTGAGCTGTGAGAATGGCTTGCTTTCGAGTTGATGGTGAATCACTTGAATCTGAAATCAAATGGAGGTCTCTTGTGAGGGTGGGGATGAGCCCACCTTTATAATGGGAAGCCACCTTGCTTTCTGTGGGATTAGATCATGGGAGCCCTTCTCTCTCTCAGCTTTTCTCAAAGAGATACAGCACATTCAATTAACTGTCCATCTGACTTCTACACATGTTCATGCCTTAAAGAAAGTATAACAGCATTTTATAACAATACCTAAAAGAGATTAGGCCTAGAAAAGAACTCAGTGTAATCCTGTTATGTAAGAGCAAGAATATTTTGCAGGCGATAAATCAAATGCTTCCCACAATAGAAAGCTCCTTCATTACCTTTTAAGCCAGATAAACGCTCAAAAAAAGCTTAGCTATAAGGTATGTGTTGTGATAAATAATACACAAGTCAAAATTTAATTGCTAGTAGACTTCCCATTTGCTCACAGTCATGCAACCTTTTCCTTCCACAGGACAGCATGTGCAAAGCCCCTAGAACCTCCACACATTAAAATTGCAATTATGGAAACAATTTATAATCAATATGTGCTTATTAGGGTAACCTGCATGTATGGGATATTTTATAGCAATTATAATCCTGACAGTCCTTTCCGGGAGCAAAATTTGAGTCTTGGTTTTTCCCTTTCAGGTTTCAGTCCCCGCAGTGCCATCTACTGCTGAGATAAGTTTGAATGCTGGATTTATTATTTCTTTGGGGGAAAATTCTCAGGGACCAGCATCTGCAGGTGGAACACAAGCTCAGGGGGAAAAAATAAATGGCTGCAAAAGCCCAGCAATCTGGCTAAAGTCTCTCTACCCATACATAGCTGACACCAAAAGGAAAAAAATAAATCCTAAACTAGGATCCATCATTTGTAATCTTACATTACTGAAACCAAATCTTTCTTTGATCACTCCTCATTCACTCAAGACAATTCATTATTCAGCCAGTGGGAATTGTCTCAGCTCCAGTGAAAGCCAGGGAGTTATACCAGCTGCTATCCGCTGAACTTCTGGCTCAGAACTGTTAAGAGAAAGCTATGCAGATTTGCTTATTTGTTTTGGAAACAAGGATAAATTACTTCTGCCAACCAAACCTACAGCCTTGCTTATTTCTGAGTGATGAGAAGTCACTTCACTATTCTAAGAATAATGATTAAGCAATATGGCAAGTGAGGGACAGCTGAGGTAGGTTCTTGGCATCTCTAGTTTAAGTTTTCATGGGTGTTGAAGTTCTGGCATGACTTTACCAAGCTACTTCTAGCAAGGGAAGAGGTGTCTAAGGTAGTCTTTAAGATTCCCAAAAATAAGGAAAGAATACAAAAATAGTGGGTTTATTTTAAAAAAAATCAGATACATTTAAAAAATATATGAAAAAATTACCTTCCTCATGTGGTACCTTGGAGGTGCTCATGTCTTACTCTTCTCTAGTTACACATCTCCTTCCCATAAAAATAGCCTGTGGACCGGGCTACCTCCCCCAGGAAGCCTGTTTTCAATCCAAAAAGGACATCTGGCTCTGCTCTGCTCTGCCAAGGAGCTTCAGCTATGGGGGAAAAGGGTACACAACTCTGCACTGTACCTGAGACTGAGGGTTCCTTCCAGAAGGGCATTTATTACAGGGTAAGGAGTGAAAAGCAACAACCATTGCTTGGCTGAGGGTGTCAGTTGTGCAAACTATTTCACTGTTAAAATAAACTTTGAAAAAGCACCACTCTGGAATTTGTTCATGTATTCATTGTGGTGAAGAGAGATGTTTCTCCAGAGTTCTCTTCACAGTATGCTGCAGGTGAGGGGAAGTCCCATCCAACCTGGCACACGCTCCTTTTAGTTTTAGTTAAGGTGTATTGAGCAATAAGATGGCTGTAGGAACAAGACCATGACCTAAAACAGGGTCACCTGAAAGGCTGGAGAAACAGAGATCTGGGTGAAGAGGTTCAGCTGGGAGCTGACAGCAAATGCTGAGGAGTGGTCAGTATTTGGAAGGGTTGAAGAGAGAACAAACTGAGAAGAGAGCAAATATAGCTAGCTGTGGAAGCAGTGAGTAGAGCATAGACTGCAAGATGAAGGCTGTAGAGAGCATGCTGTGGGTCAAAATTACAGGGCAAAAAATAAAGCAGGAGCAGGGATACCATCTGTCCTACAGGACCAACTTTTGGTAACATATATATTGGGCTTTATACAAATCTCTATGAATAATTCTGCATGACTGTATATTTCTTCCCACCCACCTTAGCAAGCATTCTCCATCACAAGTCAGAAACAATTTTCTGAGGAATAGCTAACAGCCATTTGTCTTTTTTACTTACTTTGGTGTCAGTATTTTTTTATTTATTTATTTTGTAGCTGGGCAGAGAAGGATGAGGTGGAACAGGAGGCATGGAGGGTTCTCACCATCACTGGAAGCACCCAGCTTAGGAGCCTGGGACAACACTGCATTGACCATCTTCAGAGGTGTCTACCTCCTAGCAGGGACCACAAAGCCTGGAAGGGCAAGTCTGCTGTTTTACACAATTCAGAGCAATTTCCCATTCTGCCCTGAAATTCATTGATGCTACAGAATGATGCCCCCTCACAGAAACTGGTGATGTACACCCAAAGATGCTTTTTCTTGACATTCTGAGCATCATCTAGACTGCTCATCTTTCCAGCCAAACTAGTCCTTTTCCTTGCATTTCTCATATGAGACCTTGGGTTTGCCAAATGGAAGGAGGAAAAAAAAGGATTGATGAGGGAACCGGGCGTCTTACAAGAGTGAAGAAACAAGTGAAAAAAAGTAAACTTTAAAGCAGAATTTTCCACTGTCCTGTCAAATCTGTTCATCTGGCCCTGGCTAAATATTTCAACCTAGAGTAGCTCCAGCTGCTCACTTGCCTGTGAGAGAACTTGAATTTCAAAATACCCCCTTGATACTCCCTGTGCCTCTGCTGGGAGCCCAGCTCGAGTCTGAGGGATTAAATCTGGATGTTATTAAATTCTGCTGATCAGTGACAGAAATGCCTTCAGAAAGCAGCACTGAGCAGCTGCTTAATATTGTTTTCATGGTGGTAGAGAGGCAAATGTCTCTTGCACTGGCTAGAAAAAGCAGTTTGTCTCATTCCTAGAAGCATTATATTGTAGAAACACAGCTCAGAGCAATACTTCACAGGCTGGCTGCCAAAACTTCAGCAGAAACAGAAGAGCTTCAAATAATTAGCTAGACAGTGCCTAGCAGGTGTCACTTTGGAACTCCTTGGTGATGATAATCCTCAAAGACTGCAGAGAGGTGATTTGACCAGAGAAATCAGGTCCACTACTCACACATTCCTTCATGAGCAACCACTCTCCTTGCTCATGCAGCAGTTCTGATAGGAAGCAGCTTGACAAAAACATCTGCAATTTGATCTAGAAAGAAAGAAAGAAAGAATAAATTACTTTTTTAAGTTGGCAGGGAAAAAAAAAAATAATCCCCCTACCCCCTAACAAATCAATACAATGTCTTGCATTGGGAAAGGATGCTGTGTAATTGGAATACAGATCCTGCATGAAACCCTGATTCTAATCTGAGGTATTTAATGCTTTCTGCCACAATAAAAGAAGAGAATTAATGGACTCAGTGGGAAATCTAGATGGCATTTAGCTCTGAATCAGACTATTATTTTACACTTGGCATTGATAGGAGTCAAAATGGGGCCACAAGCCCAAGACTTTCTCAGCAACTTGTGAGTGCCAATTCCCTTTATATTCCCATGATCCCTGCTTGGAGGCTTCCCTTTCTCCAGCTCTCAATCACAGCAGCAGCAAACTGAAGTAATAAATAATGAAGCCACTTCAGGCTAAATGTGGGTAAAAAATGCATGCATTCCCTCTCTTTTTGAATGTGTGCCTATTGCACATACATGTAAGATGTATCTGACAGATTATAAAATATATTGTAAGAAGGCAGACATTTATTACAGAAAAATTGTTTTTTGAATGCATGCTTCCTCTATAAAGAAGGGATGTTTTTCTCACACTCTGATCTTTATATCATGCATGTATATTTAGGATAAATTAAATAGCGAGAGGATCTCAACAAATTTTTGCACTTTCTAGTGACAAAAATAATTATATATTTTTACAATCTTTTTTTTCCCCCAATATTAAAAGAGCATGTAAGAAATGGGGCAGGGGAGAGAATGTCATGAATAAAACAAAAACATGAGAAGCTCTCATATCCATCCTAGAGTCTCCTTCCAAGGGCAAGATTTATTTGGAAGGCATCTTTGCAGTGGCCCTCAGGATTCCTTGGATGTATCAGAGGGCTGTGTTGCCCTTCCCAAGCTCACTGTTGTGCTGACTGCAAACCACATAACACTGTGTGTAGAAGCTGTTATTTATAAATGTGGATGTCTGATGAGTCCTCGTGATACCTTCAGGAGCGGATGTGTAAGGTTATGAATATCATGCTCCAAGCCAAATGGCAAGCAGGGAGCAGAAATGAGGCTGGGATTCGAGAGCTCCCAGTTCCCATGCCTCTCTTACAAATCCTGTCACACAAAGATGAGGTGTGAGAGCAATAGCACAACAAGCAAAATGCTGCTGATGATCACCAGGTGCCGTGTACTCATTCTGATGGTATTCTGGATGCTTCCCTTCAAGCAATCTGGCTTCCTTCTTGTCTGAAATACCTAAGGATTGGCCTCAGGTGTTTGGAAATGAAGAGGTACAGCAAATCATCAGCAATGCACTTGCCAGATCCCACAGAGCAGGGATGCATGGCTCAGCAGGAAAGAGGAGGGGCAGCCAGGCACCCTCCAGCAAAACCAGATGATGGACAGTAGGAAAACAAGGAGGAACCCTACTCCTGCAGGTCTTGACAAAGACAGGGCTGTGGGACTGCACTGGGGAACAGAGAACCATATGAGCAACTCCTTGGCTTTGGGCTCAATGGCCAGTTTCATTGCAAGCATATTTTTTCCCTTTTACTTAGAAACAGATGTCTAGAAAGAGAGAAGAGAAAATCTATTTGAGAAAGACTTAAGAGGGGTTTCTCTCTCTTTCCCCAGAGCAAATGCTCATAACAGGAGATTGCACTGTGATATTGCTGGAGCCACAGAAACATTTTCAGGCTAGAGATACCCCATCTGAGTGCTGAGAGGAAGGGCTCAGCTGCAGGGCTCAGGTAACTCACGGCTGACTGGTTCCTTTCAGACCTGCAGTGTTTTGTTTCACAAGCCAGTCAGGCTCTGCAGAGACTTGAGCGTAGCTTGACAGAAGAACAGTGGTTTTGTCCTCCCTATCTTTTCTACCAAATTACCTTTGCCTTTGTAATCTGATGGGCTCAAATGTTTGATAATCTCAGATTTGTTGGTAGTGGATATCGCGTGTTGGCAATCCCCAAATTGTGCAGCCACGTTTTAAAAATAATTGTGCTGAAGTGAAGATAAGCTATTGTCTCCAACTACAGGCTTTAATAAAGCCTGTGTATCAGAGGATGGTGATCCAAGCCAATTTAACCTAATTGACCCTCCTAAGCCTTCTTCCTTATCTAAAGGCTCATTCTTTCCCAGTCAGGCTCACGATACCTGTGGCTTGAAAAGTGTAATTTTTAATGACCCATTATCTACAGTATTTCTGATCCAGATAAATAAATGCAGATATCCACCTCTAGATGGATGATTGATTTAGTTACAGTGGTCATGTTCAGTCATTTAGGGAGAAGCAGCCTGCTAATGCCAGCAAAATGAAGATGAGATTGGAGGGGGGCTGAGCATAGGGCTTACCTTGGCAGAGGAAGCAATTTCAAGTAAGGGGAATCCAGTGTTGCCTATTTAATAATCCATGGAATATGAAAAGGCCTTTCAAAAATAATTATTCTCTCTATAGTGTTGTAGCAAGGAAAAATTTAGTTGCTGCACAACTAATTCAAAATTTCCCTGTAAGTTTTGATGGCTCATTTGGCATCAGCTTTTGGAAGTGGAGAAGGAAGGAGCACGCCATGCTGATCAGCTCAGGGCTGGGTGGCCTGGGAACATGCTGCCAACAAATCTTGCTGGCTACAGCCGGAAAAAGGCCTCCAGCACAGCTCTTTGCTTTTGTTGTCATGTGTCCTGCAGTCCAGTGAGAGTGTTCAGACAAGAGAAGTGGGAATACAACTCCTGTGGCATGATGAGGAATACCACATAGCTCGGGCAGAGAGGGAATTGGAGAGCGATGCTGGGAGCAGGTAGATTAATCCATCTAAAGGGCACACAGTGGTTTTGCTGGATACCTGATGTGAATGCAGAAGAAAAGATCTCCTTTTTGCTCCTGAGTGGGAATACAAATGAGAAAATCAACTCAAACCCTTTCCACCTCTTAAAGACGG